TAAAAGTAAGCCCACCATTCTTTAGGGGAATCCAAGGCTGTATTCCACGTCAGTGAATGAATGGTTTTTATCATCCGGAAAGCCCACCTTATTTTCGAAAATTCCATTCCCTTCGCAAGCCCGCCTTTCTAAATTGCTGTCTAATTTTTTTGTTTAAATGTAGAGTTTTCTAACTACTCCCCCTTTCAAAAGTCTGCAAAAAGCTGGAATGGAGTGCTAATTAGTCTTAAGCTTCATTGTCTCGAGGATAGCACCGTTTATGATTCATCGGTTGGAGATACCACCAAGTTGATGTGCTTCAAATGTTTTTCTTTTCTGTTTTTTAATTTTGATTTTTAAAACAATGAATGAATGAACAATCAAACATGTCTAGATATGTATGTATTATTAACAACATCCAGCATTGAATGAAATATTTTTCTCAACTTAAGTAGAGCTCTATGTGACCAAAAAATACCTTCTTATAACAAACCTCTCTTTAAATTCCTTCAAAAACCCAAGAAGTATGTGTCCATTATTAACTTTGAATATCCATTTTTCACAATTTGTTCTTTACAAATACAAATACATGATTTCTTCTTATCAAACGCATTTGTCATGACTACCATTGTTATTAAAATTAAAATTAAACCTCCTTGAGTTGTTGTCTCTGTCCCAGGATGTATCAAGCATGGTTAAAATTTTAAAGTTAAGATTTGAATTGTGAACCACTCTAGATTGGATATTGAGAAACAATGTCCACATTCAATATTAGATGAAGATAAAACTTTAAAATTGATGTCTATCCACTTTAATATTATGAGCTAGTACAAAATTTTCTAACATGTTCATACAGGTTGGTAATATAAAGAAGAAATTTTCCACAAGATTTTAATCTAAGAGAATAATTGTTTTTTGGAAGAGTTCCACACTAACCTATTGAAAACAAGGTAGTTGATATTAAAGATTGGCAATTTTAAGATATCAACTAGAATTAAACTTCAAATCACTTGAATATAATTTATTGTCCATTGCTAGAGTCTATAATACATGTAAAGGCAACTAAATTAAAAAAACCTTTGTCACATAAAAGATTCAACTCTTAGCCTTCAATTCCTAGTTTAGTCTCTATTTGATCAAATAATAGAGATGAGACTAAATACTCATGCCCTGCAAATGAAAATTTGTTGAAGCTTAGTTTAGAAGATGTTCTATAGAATCCTTTGGTACAAACTTCCAAACTATTGATAATTTAAAGTGATTGGAAATCAAACTATTATAATCTCATGTACATATACATACACACAACTACATTCACATATTCTATAAATACATGGGTGGTATTTTTAGCTGCAAAAATGTTCAAAGACATGATAAAAAAGAAATAATACTAGTAATTATAAAAATTGTAATGTTATTTGAATATGCACTTTATTTTTGCAACTCATCCAATTAACTGTTTTATTTATTTTGATTTTTAAAAATGATTTATTTCTATTCTAAATTTTATAAATAAATTTTAATAAAATCATGGATAAATTTCGAAACTTGTAATTTTGATTTAATGGTGTATATATATATATATATATATATTCATATTCGTGCACACATACACATACATACAAACAGGGTTCTTACTTATTATATAATTAATGGATTATTTGTGTTCAATCCCGACAAAACATATTCACGAATTCTCTTTTTGTGCAAAGTTGTTTCAAGGAATATTTTTTTGATGAAATATTAAATTATGGGTTAGTCAAACCATGGTAAAAAAAAAAAGAAAAAAAAAAGAAAAACATTAAAAAACTTAAAATAAAAAGAGAGAAGATAGTTGGTGATATGACAAAGTTAAAAAATATATTGTCTTAAGTTGACCATAGAATGTTCTTACCAGAGGCATTTTTCTCAATTCTTTTATTTCTTTTATTCTCTTTCATATATATTTTGGTTATGTACATGCAAAAGTAATATAATTAAATTATGCGATTTTCATTTGACAAATCTATTAGTAAAGGATTTATATATATATATATATATATATACATATATGTATACACACACACACAAACACATTGACTACATGTAAACAAGATTCCCTAGTGGTTTTGAATTGCTCCTTGACTAATTAGCCACAATATGCTCCCACCGAAGTAGTGAGGGGCAATAAGTTTTCATAATTTATTATTGTTTATCCATTGTGACAGTGTTGGACATGTCATCATGTTCATTGAATGCAAAATAGATGCATCTTTCTCTCTATACATAGATATGTATTAAGAACAGTAGTTTGCTCTGAACTTGAATGCCGTGCATCATGAAGCAATAACGGTATGCGGAATACAACATAAACTCTCAACACTTTGTTAACATCGGAATACAATGAGACGATGCTGACCTTGGTACGTGCAACATGAATAATGACCAGTCAACGTCGACGGTGCGTGGGTTAGCACGAGTTGTGAGCGTGCTTCAGCCAAGGATCCCCGTTTTGTAGCATCAAAACAAGGAGTTTTAGGGTTTCCTTGTTTGTGGGTGCGCCTCGTTTTTTGTATTTTGTTTTTGTGTCGTGGCGTGTCGTCGGAGAACATCGCCGACATTCTCCCAAGTTGCCCCCAAAGTCTGCGGTCTTCAATATGGCCTCAAGCACCGCCGGACGCAGTCAGGTAAAGGAAGATGAGAAACCGATAAGGCGGAGACACCATGTAGATTTGCAATATCTCGCCGCGTATTGTATGATATGTGTGAAATGCATGTCTGGTCGCGAGAGCGCACACGCCACGCCGCGCCAGCTTCAGCGATGGTCTGATCAAACAGGGATCTGCAGCATCCAAGCGCCGCATCGTAATACGAGGTTCGAAGCTGGAGAAAATCTAAGGCTGGTTCATCTGATGATTCCGTGCGACGTAGCAGCAAGCAGGAAGCTGAAGAGTTGCCTCCGACATGATCTGAGCGCGACGAAGAAAAAGCGTGGCCAACGGTTCCATGTGTATGTATTCAAGTTGTCTGTCTGCAGCAGTGTTGACTAATCAGCCTGCTAATTTTAATCCTGTAGGGCACCGTACAGTTTTTATCCAGGTTTCGTCGTTCGCAGTTTTTTAAGTGCAGTTGTACATTGCTATTCGGAAGCCGCTCTCATCCTGAATTTTTATGGAGACTGTATCGTGCAGTGCAATGTTATCTTTTCAGTTTGAGTGCGATTTAGTTGTGCGGCATCTCTCCAAGGCAACGGCAACTTCGGTGTTCTAACTATATTAAGATTCGGAAGCTCACATTCTTCGCATGGCATGTAGAGCAGTGGATTTCTAATCTTGAAACTGTCTGCAAGAATCGTGCTCTAACTACGAACACCTATTTCATATAGCAAGGGAAACGAAGCCGGAAAGCGGCTCATATTTAACATCCACCACCAATCGTTCTCAGAAGACAAAGTGGGAACCGTTGGGTCCCGGACGTTGAAGAGGAACAAAACTTCGTGGAATGTGCAGCTCAGGTCTCACAAGTCTCTTAAGAGGTTGTGAAGCAGAAAAGCTAGCTCCTCTTCCGATGCAACTGGAACTTTAGAACAACCCGAAATAAATTTTCAACCTCTGTCAGCACGTTCGCGTGTTCTCTCATTTGCTCCAGTTCACCATCAAGAGCTCATTTACAGAGTCCTGCTCACGAATACACCCGAGACGACTTAGTGTAACAACTCAAAGGGTTTCGTGCCTATTCAAATCCAGCTGCTCGCCTTCGCAACCCGCGATTAAACGTAATCCCCATGCTTGACAAAACAACCTGATTATATTCCGTGATACTCAATTTGTGGATACCTCTATGAAACTGGGATGTGTATCGTCTGAAACACTGATTGCAATGCATGCTTACTGGCATTGATGTGAAGCCGTGTGAAGAAATCAACTAATCCCATGAACGAATGGTTTCTCTTCCTAGAATCAGCGTACTAGTTTGCCAAATTTGTGTTTTGTCCAGTTTGTAATGAGAGCATAATCTTCTATAACAATTTTCACATATATGTACATATTCACATGCATATTTGTTAATTCTGAGAATGTAAAATAATTATTCTATTTGGTTATATACGAATTGGTTTTTGAGTAGAAGTAGAATACTGGAACTTGTGAATGAGGAGAGTGAGGTTTCCTGCACAAATGGCATGTCAAGAAGCTTGGGAACTATCGTCGGTTCACCCATGAGTCTATTTAAAACTAACCACAACAGCACAGAATGAAGGGAGCTCTTTCCAAGCCGCCACTCTCGCTTCACACAGTTTGGCTCGGCAACTTGGCTTCTTAATTCACGAAGAAAGGCCACTTCGCCTTGCCATTAACAAGAGAAACCAGCTCCATCAAGCATCCTAAAACAAAATCTAATGAGAAAACTAACCGATTCTTAAGCAGTCTATGGTGATCACCTCGGATCACTCACTGCAGAGTGCTTTAGCTGATCAAGCATACCAAAGACACTGCTTCCGTCGTCCTGATTCTAGATAGCCTGCGACAGTGCAGAACGGGATTCCTCTCCGCTTTCCATTGGTTAGGGTTAGGGCTTCAGATCTGTGGTGTCGGGTGTTCCAAAAAGCGAGGGCCCCTGTAAAGATGTGGAGCCATGTCTAAACCGTCATGAGCTGATACGATGCTGTGGTATGTTGTTTTATTGACCCGTCCTCCACCAATTGTATTCGTGGTTGGTCTCAACCAGAGGCCTTTTCTGCAGCCCCAACACACTTGTTGATGGTATTTCTGAATCTATAGCGTTGGCAAGGGAAAATAACTCATCGATGTTAAGCACAAAAGTAAACGGAAAGTGAAATGAAATGAATAAATTAAAGCAAAATAGACATGATAATTTGTTTTTGTTCATGCACAACGCCATACAAACCTAAACAAATCCGGCTTTAATGGAGCACATCAGACCGTAACAAATCAAAACAAAATGTTGAAAGATTTGAATTACTTTCCATAGATCGAATGGTAGCATTCCAGATCGCCTAATGAGAGGTATCAACATGAGAGTAATTCGAGAGCCAAGCCTATCAAACTTGAAGTTACACAAAATTGTGTACCAATTGTTAAGTAATACTTTGTACAGTGAACCAATTCTCCACAATTCCACGTAATTGCGCTCAAGGTAGTTGAGCTGTAGTCTAGCGGACAAACCTCGTTGACTTCGCAAGGGGACACGCATACCTGAGTCTTGTATCTTGGATAAAGCTAACACAGAGATGGGACTAAACCAATTTATACCATCACGTTCTACAGGAAACATCTACGCTGCGTATCTTATTAAGGCTTGAAACTATAAACCAATAGTTCCCTGTGGCCAGATCAAACCTCGGGCCTGCACAGTTACTTTCTCCTGCCAGCTTTACATCTACTTGGAACGAACATTAAGACGTAATTGGGTCCAGTTCGTTGCCACATCTACTTCTCAAACCAGGACCTAGACTTATAGTTGCAGATCAAAAGACGTAACATCCGATTTCTGTTAAAACTTTTCCCTGTCCCATCCTTCGTCGCAAATGAATTAAACATGTTTGCTGAAAACCCGAGAACTAGAGACAAACTGTGTTTCAGCAGTTGCACAGCTCATGTTCTCACATGCAACAGTCGTTTAACAAAAAATCAGGCCGGGATACTCGAATCCCACCCCTACATTTTCAACCGAGTATAATCTACTCGATTTGTAATCATGATATTGGCTCAAGACGAGCAAGATAACATGCAAACCCCTGGACGATAAGCCCAGGCAGGCGGAAGCCTAGCGTATTTCTCCATTCCAGGTTGATCGTCGTAAGGCCGCTCGATGAGTTTCAGCAAGTTCTCGACTTCCGAAAAGTCCCCTTGTTCTGCCATATCAATAGCACTCTGTAACATATAATTACGCAGGACGTATCTTGGGTTGACTGAATTCATCAAGGCTTTCCTATCTGCCTCTGATACACCCTCATCAACCACGTTCTTGACGTACTGGTGCAACCAGTCGAGCCACACTTTTCTCCTTTCCTTGCTCAGGTCAAGGAGTGCATTTTTCAGCGGTGCAATCAAGTCATCGTCTGAGGTTTCTGGAGTAGCTTTCAGATTACTGAACGACCTGAAAAAGTTTGTGTAGTCCACTTTGTCGAAGGCCATATTGTTCAGAAGCTTGCTAAGCAGATCTTTGTTATATGTTTTCAGACCAATTTTGTTACTCATGTGTTGCTGATATAAAAACATGAATTTATCAGCATATCTGCAATCAAAGACATTTGAATTGTTACTTATTAGCTCAAAAGAACACATCTGCACATGGATGGAATTTCATAAATAGTGTAAAACTGCATCACTAATATTGAAAGAAAAAAAAGGCTGATACAACATTGACCGTCAGAGCTAGGAACCGAAACTTGCCTCCCTAGACCATATTGGGCTTCATCTGCAGTAATGAGTTCTGCAGTGTATAGTGTGTTTGCCAGCTGCATCACATTCCACAGACCAATATCCGGTTGATTGGCAAACCCATAACGACGACCAGGAAGATCTGTTGTATTCGGCGTATATTTGGGATCAAAAGCGTCCAAAAATCCAAAAGGACCGTAGTCAATAGTTAAACCCAATATGCTCATATTATCAGTATTCATAACTCCATGTGTGAATCCAACTGCTTGCCATTTTGCAATCATCAATGCAGTCCGCTCTGCAATCTCAGTGAACCATGCTGCCAACAAACCAAGACCTAGTCAGTACGATCTCACCAAACTCAAAAAGTGAATACATTAAAATCTAGACCTAAGATAAATGCCTCATTAATCAAGCTGGACAGAGAGGGGAAATGTATTGAATGAAGGCTAGGAAAAAATTCAGTATAAAATGATACCTGAATATTTATTTTTCGATGTATCAATTTGAGGAGCATTGTTCTCGCCTTTTTGAGATTCAGAACCGTCTTGCCCCTGCCTTTCGAATGGCAAATCCTCAAAGTCAGGATAATGATGATGAATTGTATAATCAGCCAATTGTTTGACAATTGGGAGGTCGGCCTTATCCCGGGCTGCATGAATTTGGAAAGACCCAAAACGAATGAATGACGGGGATACACGGCAAACGACGGCACCTGGCTCCATTTTGACATTGCCGCTGAATGCACAAAACAAACTCAATTTGAGAACAATTAACAGAATCACTAAAAGATTAAAGAAGTACCCTGTTGTCTACTTGCAGCAAAGGTGAAAAGGATTGTTATCTTTGCTTTGAAAACATCCTGCTCTCGTACAGCTCTACAACAGTGATCATATTCAAAAAGAATACTAAATACCCAGATGCCTTGAAACAAACAATTCATATGCATAATTCTGACGTAATCAAGAACGTAATGCACAACACAATCAAGGCCCAAACTTACTCATAGAACATGTCGCGCAAAACCCCTTCTCCAGTAGTCACTAAGGACAAAGCTCGTGTCGTTGGAACTCCCAAATGATACATAGCTTCACTGCAAAGGTACTCACGAACGCTGCTTCTAAGTACTGCAAGCCCATCAGCAGTACGGCTGTATGGTGTTTTACCGGCTCCTTTCAACTGCAACTCCCACCTCTGCCCTTTTGAGTTCAATATTTCTCCCAACGTAATTGCACGTCCATCTCCCAACTGTCCAGCCCACACACCAAATTGATGCCCTCCGTAGCACTGTGCATAAGCTAAGCTGCAACACATCCAACAAAAATATCAGAATGTAGAATGCTACCGGATCAAGAAAACCATATATTCAACCTAAAATGAAGTAAATGTGAAAGACTTACTCAAAGCAGTGCTTATAATATGGAAAGTCTAGTAAGGAACACTCTGCCGCAATCTCCTCAAAAAGTGCAAGTTTAAAATACTAATAGTACAAGAAGTAAAGTGACGCCGTGAGCACTGACTTTGAGCTATGATTATTTCAATACTGATACACTGATATAATTCCATTGTGTATGGTCCGCACACCATATAAATCAATATCATTTTCAAAAGTGCAAAACATCAGGTCACTGTAAATAACATGGGGTCAACTAAGATTTTGTAAATACAAACATTTGATATAGACATTGCAAGATAAGTACGAAGAAAGTCCCACCCGCCCTTCAATTGAGAAGCTCCAGTGAAAAGAAGAGGGAAGTCTGGTCGTTCAAATCTGGGAACACATAAAAATCAGATTACCATTATCAAACTTTCACAACAAATAGAAGATATCAACAAGAGAAGTTTCAGATATTAAATAGGCCGCCTACAAATTGCTGAAATGTCTTGATCATATAATGTCAATACGCACCAAATCTACTTCCAGAATTGTCATAAAAATCTATTGCGACAAAGTCGAAGGATTACGAACAGTAATTTATAAACTGCAATAGCAGAATAAAAGCGTTAGACATTAAATAATCGAAAAGGCTCACTCTTTATAATCAAGATCCAGCAGATCAGCAACATGCCGTGACCAAGAAACCAGCTCCGGGTTTTTTACGCGCACTGAAGGAGTGACCTTCGAGTAGCATGCGTGTAGCACCTGCTCGTTTGCCCATAAATCAGCTGAAGTGCGACCATAGACTAGATTGTTCATGAGCAACAATTGACAACGTAGATACACAACTTCGTACTATTGAACACATAACCGTGTAGATTGAATTATACAATAAAAAGAGCCTTAGAAGCAAGTTTGTCAACATCCCATTCACTGGATAGCTGAGCCTTAAAAGTGCTGCGTTAATGTCAAAATGAAATATACCTGACGTGTTGGACCATCACTTCGTTTATCGCCAGGAAGTTCTCGCACAAATGAATGATCCCAGATTAAGTCCTCCAACTTTTTCCTTCCCAAGCTGCCTGAAGCTCCGATTTCTTCAGACTTATCCACCTTGCACAATGAAGAGAGCAGCCAAGTTTCAGTTGCATAATCATTTCTTACCCTAATCGTTCTACGCCATCAACGGGAAACTTAGAGAAAAATCACAGGAATACAAGCTTAAAACATGGAGACTGAACATGAAACTTTTGAGAACTCTTTTAAGCTCGAAATATTCCTAGCATATTTTCGACTGACAATCTAGCAGAAACAACCTAGTAAATCAGAACTAAGTTCAAGATGCACACGTTCGAGTCTGGGAAGACTTTGATTAAGTTATTGCGTGTGCTAATCCTGTTAATTTAGTTTTTTTAGTTTTTTTTATTATTTATTATTATTTATTATTTTATATCTAATCATTCAACTTCAGTCGGAGGTGAATTCCTAATTTTGATGATGTTCTTAAGTGCTATTCACGCCGATTCTTTAATGATGTGAGACTAAGCTTGTCAATGTCAAACCCTAGTTACACTCAACATTAGGAATACAATCGATTAACCAGCTTCATGCCATAGGAGAGACGGAGTTTGAATGTAACAAGACAAACAAATCAGTGCTGTAAGACTCAGCAATTTATCAAATGCAAAACTAACTACAGCAGTTCAAACCAACAACACGTCATGTTTTAGTCTGAAACGATAACACAGCATACTATCGCAAAACCAACGGAATTAACCTGTCAATTTAACGTGGAGCAACTTCTATTACGTTGTCTTATTCAAATACTTCCACGTGTTTTTTCTGTGTGCTGACAATTTCATTCAGCCGCATCGCACACAGCATCCTTGCCATTTACTCCTTACTACACAATCTCATAGCTCTCGTTCACATAATTCAAATCAATGCGAAGGCTAATACTCGCGATACCTTCAAGCCCGAGAAGAAGCACAAGAAGAAGAAGAGGAGGAAGAAGAAGAAACTCACATTCGAACTATTCGCTAGTCGAACAAAAAGAAGAATCACGAAGATTCAACACCAATACCACTAGCAACCAGTCAAAAGACACAATCACCTTTTCGGCGACGTCACCATTGACAGACTTGTCGTCATCCAGGTTCAAATTCTTCATATTATCCGTCATGGCAGCAGTCAAGACACGCCCCCGCGACGAACCGAAATCCCGCAGCAACGCTGCACCAGCTTTTCCCCTCCTGCTCTCACCCGCACGACGACCTAACAAACCATACACAACTTCACGGCCTCCTCCTCTATCGACTCGACCAGCTCCAGCCCTCACGCCTAATCCACATCCAGCATGTGGAGGGCGATGCACCGCCTCACTCCCACCATTCTCAACGCCAACCCTAAGGCCACCGAAACCAGACCAAATGGGCGCCGAACGCAACAAGAAGGGGTTCGTTGGAAACGCAGAAGCGGGAGCAGAGACGGGGATGCAGTGCGAGGCTGCTCGGAATGAAGATGCCATTGCCAAGGAAGGAATCGGCGAAGATCAGCAGGCTCTCTCACCCCCGAGGCGAGGCAGTGCACACGACGAGAACCGGAAGACGTCCCGTCCCGTCCCTGCCAGGGTCATCTCGGCCCCCGCTTGCCACCTCGGCCTCCACGTCGCTTGATTTCGCTAGATAAGGGGCCGTGTGCTCTCCTCTACCATTGCATGTGTTTTATTCGCTTTCACACTTGTGAAGGTGTCTGACGTGGTTATTCATCTCATTTTTCGTTACCCGCCCACGGTTTCAACCGTTACCCACCATCACATTCTCAAACTTTGGCACTTAGATGCGATTATTGATTTATAATATGTTTTCAAAAATTCCACTTAACAATTATACTTGATTTCACACAAATTTGGATTAAATAGTACATATATTATTTAGATTAAAGAGATCTTTCTATCTAGAAGTCCATTTTGGATTAAATATTACATATATTATTTAGATTAAAGAGATCTTTCTATCTAGAAGTCCATTTTAAAAGGTTGTGATGCAAAAGTTTTACTAAGATCCTTCATTTGATGAAGAAAAGTCCATTTTTTATTTTTATTTTTATGGAAGCCTTGGATCTTGGATATAATATGAAGTAAAAAGAAAACATGAAATTAATTAAACCATTATTTTGTTATGATTCTAAATATTTTAGCTTATATTTTAAGCTTTAAAATTATCATAAATATAATAAATAAATAAATAAATAAAATATTTATTATCTTATGGTAGTATTCCAATTATTCACTATCTACTCTTAATGATTTTAAAATAGATCATCGTCAAGGGGGTAGGAGGAAGGAGATCCTTGAAGAAAGAATAACCATCACTCTTTACAATTCTAGTCCTATTTTAGGTTGAATTAGTTCAAAGCATATTGATTGTAGTTTTGAGAAGTAGGTTTTAAGGTTGATATATTAGTGTGTATATATTATTATGTTAGGAATTTTGAAAATGAGAGAATTAGTTGCAATTATTGCAAGCTAGATTTTATTCATGTGGATTTGATGGAAAATATATGGATGTATTGTAATATTATTTTGTATGAAGAAACTAATTTATATGATATATATAATATCTAATATGAAGATATTAGATATTAAGAGATAGAAAAAAAATGCTAGTGATATATCTTGTTACAAATTTGGATATGTAAACATTTGATGAGTCACTCAAATGTGATGATTATTTTTAGTAGTAAGTAATTAAATATTAGAGATTTATAATATAAAATATTATGAATAAAAAATATTTATGTAAAATTTTGAGAATATATAAGAAAATATAAAGGTATTAAAAATTAAATATAATAAGTTAGAGAATATATTTTATTTTTATATAAATAACATTTTTATATAGAATATAAATCAATTTTATATGATGAATTAAAATTTGTTAAGAAATTAAATTATGATTTTTGTAGAATGATAATATTTGATAAGTTCAAAAACTTATATAGAATAAAAGATGAATTGGTGATAGAAGGATATGATATTATTTATAAGTGAATGGTAAAGAATGTAAGAAAAGTAGATTAAAAAAATATATGTTTAAAACAAAATACTAAGTGTAATTTGATGTGAGGAAGAATTTATAAGTTGGCATTTGATGTAGTGATTTGTATAGTTTATGAAGCTAAAAATGTGGGCATGAGATAAAAAAAAAAAAGAAGTTGTATTGAAGATATGGTAATGATAATTATTAAATTACATTTATATGACTTTAGATTTAATTTATAGGATTAAAAATCCTTCTTACAAGTCCTTGAAATATTTAGAGTTGTGAGTTTTTATAGACTCAAATAGTAGATTATGCACAACATTGACTAGATATAGTGCTTAATATATTTGAAGATGAATATTTAGATCTAACCAAAGTATGCATTGATGTAAGATGTATAGATCTTGATTCTCTTGTTTGTCATGTTTAGGTGTCTTAATTACATAATTAAAGAATCAAACTTGAATACTTATAAGTGATCCATCATAGCAAATTATTCAATTAATTGCTTGCAAGGACTTGCATCTTTATCAAGAAAGAAAGACATGAAGGTAAAAAATATTTATTTATAATATCAAATCTTAATTAATAGAAAAGAACATTTATTGAAGAAAAAATGCATATTGAATAGAAATCAATGTATAAGTTTGCATATGCATCTTGTACATATAATGAAAATATTTGACAAGTTATTAATTATCAAGGACATGAACTAAAAGATGATGCATAAACTAATGAAATTCGTGTCAAAAAAAAAAGTGACAAAATAGAAATAAGAAAGTATGTATATTAAAAAGAAACTGGAATGGCTTATTACCAATTGACAAGAAAACTTGAGACTCTTGAAATTGGACTAGAATTAAGAAAGGAATTGACAAGAATGAAGAAGGTTTTACTTTTGTCTCTATATATATTATCTAATTAGAGGCTACATGGCAATGTTTTATAGGACCTCTAATATGTGTTGACTTTGTAAGACACATGCCTTGACTTACAAAGCAATTTTTTCTATATGTGTACCACATACTTAGCTTGTTCTTTAAGCTACTAATATGTGTGGCATATGGTTAACTTGTTGACCAAGTTTCTAACTTAAAAGAACAATAGACACTTATAAAGTCAGAGCAACATCTATGAAGCTTCTAGGAAGCTTTTTTAGAAGACATTATAGAATTAACTTACTTTTACCTACTTCTATCTATATCTACCTATTTATATAGGTAATTATTGCCTTACATGTGTATGTCCATGATATTAACCACCCTTCTAGGAACAAGTTCTACAAGGAGTAATCTTCATATGTTGAAGAAATCCAAGATGATGTGAATTGTATTTGCCACATATTCTGATCTTTGTTTTCTTTGAAGATAGTTGATAGGCCCTCTCAACCATCAATAGTATCTCATACCAGGGCAGAAAGATCATCCTATTATTTAGTCATTGTTGAGGCCTTCATAACTTCCTTCAAATAAAATATTTGAAACACTATCACGAGTTGTTTCTACTTCTAATAAAATCACCAAACATTAGGAGTCTCTTCCAAGGTCGTGATACCAAACATGTTGTATCTTGCCATGTATTCGATGGAGAACATGTTATTCTTGAGGATCTTCATCTCGATTGTGTCGTCTTGAAGGTTGTGACAATTGTAATATTTTATTTAGCAGGTCAACAAATAAAGGCTCTTCAGATGAATCCACTAGTTGTTGATTTTTTATCTCTTTAATATCACAAATATAAAGAAGGTGCAAACAAGGATTGAAAATAGAATGTTATCTTGCCTACATCTTATTTCTTTTATATGAACGGACTTCATTTTGTTTTTGATGGATGTCGTCAATGAAAAGCCTCCACATTTCTTTGTTGCATTTGTAAGATTCTTTAGTGGCTCTAATGTGTATTTACTAATATTATATCCGTACCAATGAACAAAATATTCCAACTTATTTTGGCATCGCCTTGAACCTAAGACTTCTTCCATTTCAAATTCTCTATTATTATTTACTTCTATAGGAGGAAGTGACACTTGTCTTCTTCTTGGTATATCCATTGTCTTGTATGGTTCAAGAAGAAATACATAGAATATTAGATGGATTTTTATTGGCTCCAATAGGTATAAATAATATGCAACTAAATTGATTTGTGCAGAAATAAGAAATGGTCCAAGCCTATGATAGTCCAACTTGTCACAAAGATGAGTAGTCTTGATATTGTGATAAAGTAACCATACTTTGTCACCTACATGGAATGATAGTTGTTCTTTTCAATAGATATCGACATTGAATTTTTGTTGTTTATGAGCTTCTTTTAATTATACCTTCATTGTTGCATGTAGCTCTAACAAATGATTTACCAAATCTTCTGCTATAGTATTATCAGCTTTTGAAAAGTCAAAAGTATCAAGTCATCGATGATAATCATAATTGGCAAAAAAAAGGTGTTTATTTTGTAGAAGAATGTACTATGTTATTGTAAGCAAATTTTACCAATGGAAAAAGAATTGTCCAATCATCTTATTGATAATTGATGGTACATCTTAAATACTACTCCAAAACTTGATTAATATCCTCCGTTTATCCATCAATTTGAGGATTAAATACCAAAGCTAGTTTTATATCCACTTTTAGAATCTAAAAAAGAATTTTCTAAAATCTTAATACAAACTGAGTTCTCCTATCCGATATAATATCTTTGGATGATCCATAATAACGATAGATGTTATCAAAAAAGAATTGATCAAAAAAGATATTCAACAAGACTAGAATCAATGCAAATTGATATAATATATTTTTAATTCTTCACAATGCAAAAAAAGACTTGACAACATCAAGAAGACTTATGCTTATATTATGGGGTAGCTAAATACATTACTCAACATTATTCAAAGAAACAACGTAACTACAAAATAAGAAGCATGGTTGCTAAAAAAGACAATGTCTTGAAAAATAAGTTTTTCTAGCTATAATAGGGACCGTGCAGTTGAAATCTTACATGATTCCTAATAAAGGTCCTATTCTTTCCTTAGATCCCTCACCTTATTTTATAATAGAAGTTTTTTTAAGACCAAAAATCACAAAGTCTTAGCTTTATTAGATTCAAGAGCCTAAACTTGTTTTATAAATGAAGATTTTATCAAATAATTAAAAATATTACTAATCAAGAAAATCAAACTTTTATATGTAAAAGTCATATATAATTATTTGCTATCTTCTAGAGATATTATGCATGAGATTGTTCCGTAAGATGTAGCAATTAAAGATCATAATAGCATAATAATATTTAATATAATAAGATCTTCATCCAATCTAATTACTTTAGCATTATCTTGGTTAAAAAAATATAATCTTTAAATAGATTGGATTTGTTGTAACCTTAATTTTTCTAGTAGTTTAATCCAAAATCTTATTAGTCAAGTAAAAATATATAAATCTAGTATATCTAAAGCCTTATTGGTATATATGAGAGCTTTTATACATGCTGCAAAAGAAAGGTCATCTTTTGTTATATATGCCATGCTTATTTCTAATGGTAGGAAGATATCAAGTAATATTCTTAGTCCCTATTAAGCTTTTGA